CTTTTTTTTTTAAAGTGTAGTGCTTAAAAGAACAAGATTGAGAATTGTGTTTTCCAAGAAATATATGTATTTAAACTGGGTTACTATTTTATTAATAACTATTCAGCATAAAATATGAACCAGTTTATTCTAGTACAGTTGACCCTTGAAAAAGGTAGGGGCTGGGGCACCCATGTCCCCATGCAATGGAAAATCTGCATATAATTTTTGATTCTCCAAAAACTTAACCAACAGCCTACTGTTGACTGAAGTCTTCCTGATAACTTAGTCAATTAACATATTTTGCATGATATATGTATTATATATTATATTCTTATAATAAAATAAGCTAGACAAAAGGAAATGTAATTTAAAAATCCCAAGGAAGAAAAAATAGTAAGGGAGAGAAAATACACTTTTAGTACTGTACTGTATTGAAAAAATTCCACATTATTGTAAGTGGACCCATGCAATTCAAACCCAAGTTGGGCAGGGGTCAACCACAGTTTTGTATGCAACATTTTAAATCTGGCTAAAATAGAGGAAACACCAGCTGTGATACAAAAGAAGAATTTGTAGCCATATTCAGAGAGAAAGCTTTGTTATTATATATCCATTACCAACTCAAGTCCTCCTTTTTGTCAGTTCCTGGCCTCTTCAAAAGTTGTTTCAGCACTTAATCTTCAAAGCCAGGCCCTAGCTTCATATATGGATTGCTGATCCTTTTTAGGGCATTTATCATAGATTTCTACCGCAATGTTACTTAGGGCAAAGACATTTTCTGGACTTCTGAGAAGATTGAATTAGATGGTTTCTAAGGTTCTAGAATTCTATGATTCTGAATTTTCCTTGGCAAAGATTAGTTTTAATGTTTTTTTCATTTGTTCATTCATTCAGCAGATATGTATTAACCTACTGATGCAAGGCTCTATTTAGACAAAAAGTGCATTGAGGATGGAGGATAAAACATGTTCAAAGGCTCTGAAGTAGAAAAAAAGATGAAGCATTTGTGGAACTGAAAGAAGTACAAAATGGTTGCAGCTTAATGAGAAGGTGAAAATGCTATTAAGATGAGGCTCATGAAGTAGTTAGGGAGGGCCCAGATCAAGTAAGGATTTAGGATTTTATCCTAAGAGCAACAGGAAACCTTTGAATGGTTTTAAACAGGAAGGTGCTTTGATCTGATTTTTTTTTTTTTAAAGGCTCATTGTAGCTTTTGTGCGAGAAAGGATTAGAAGATGGGTAGAGAATATGGAATGGCCTGTTTGAAGCTGTTATTACAGTGGTATGGCTGGGAGGTGATCATGGCTGAGACTAGGGTGGGCTCATTAGAAATGGAAAAAAAATGTGAATAGATTCAAGACATACCCAAGGATGTAGATTTAATTAAAAAAGCAAGTCAAAAGTGATTCCTAGGTTTCTAGTTTGTGAAAGTAGGTAGATGGCAACACTTTGTATTGAGCAAGAACGCCAGCAAAGGAGTAGCTTTGGGGAGGGTTTCATGTTCTTGGATCCTTTCAAAGGTCCTGTAGTCTGTCTTAATTCTGTTTTCCTCTGAATTCTGTTTGCATAGGATGATTGTGTAGCCTTGCAGATGTTGGTCCTTTGGGCATCACAGTTGACCATTGTGGTTGGAGATGGGATGTTGGCATCACTGAGTTTGGAAGAGTAGGTATACGGTTTGAACTTGGTAGTGAGCGACCAGACTAAGTGAGTAAAAAAAAACATTAGAGAAGATAGGGCATTAGAAATACAATTTTGGGTGGCAGGACTCTGCTTTGCTTTGTTTTTCCTTTTTTCCAAATTTTCTTTAATGGAATAATTAGAAAAAATGAAGTAGCTTATTATATTCATTTTATTACCCATTCAAACTTAAAATAGTCTAACTTTTCTCCATTAAATTTATTTACTTTTGTATATTTTTTTATTGGAGTTCGATATGCCAATATATAGCCAGTGCTCATCCTATCAAGTGCCCCCCTATATTTATCTTTTATGCCAGAATTAAATTGTGTTTAATATGACAAGTTAGCTTACATCTCAATAAAATTTGCTAAATTTAACAATAAAGACATGTTAGACTTTTAATAAAAACTGACTATATAACTCAGAGATTGATTTGTAATTAGTCATATTTCTAATATTCAAAAGCATTTTCAATAACATCTCTGGGTATCATTCAAAACGTATGTATGAAGAAGGGCTGCTAATTATTTGTAAGTATACTAAATATATATTTGTATATATACAAAATATATCTACATTTCAGTGACATATCCTTAATCTAGGATGTTTTCTAGGCCTAAATACCTAAATAAAGAGATACATAATAGTACCAATTCTTAATTGATAATGTTCATATAGAAGAGTAGTGATTCCTGAAAAATCTTTATTTTATTTATTTATTTACCATTTTATTTATTTATTCATGACAAACACAGAGAGAGAGGCAGAGGGAGAAGCAGTCTCCATGCAGGGAGCCTGACTTGGGACTCGATCCCAAGTCTCCAGGATCAGGCCCTGGACTGAAGGCGGCCCTAAACCATTGAGCTACCCAGGCTGCCCCTGAAAATATCTTTAATCTTATACTTAAATATGGAAACTGCTCATTTCACTTGTAATTGCAGATTCAAAGACTAACTTAAACTGAACAGAAAGGAATTTAGAGGTTTAATCTACTGGTTTTCATAATGTCCCCTAATCAGCAGCATCTTACATCACATGGGAACTTATTAAAAATGCAAAATTTCAGGCACACTCCAGAGCTACCGAATCAGAAACTCTAGGGGTGGGGTAGAGCAATGTGTTGTAATAAGACTTTCCATATGATTTTTGATGCCATACTTTTAAAGTTGGAATTATGTGTTCCCATAGTTTAGCTGAAATTCACAACAGAAATAAGACAAAGAACTTTGTCTTAAAAGATCCTAACTCAAATTGCTTAAAAGACATCTTTTATAGAACTCCACCTTGTTTCCCATTCCATGTATATTAGTTTTCTCTAGTTGCTGTAATAAAGTACCACTAACTTAAAACTTAACAAAAATGTGTTACCTTACAGTTCTACAAGGTCAGAGGTCCAGCATATTGTCTCACTGAGCTAAAATCAAGGTGTTTGCTTTGCTTTCTGGAAGCTCTAAGGGAGGATCAGTTTCCTTGCCTTTTCTGGAAGCTGGCTTCCAGAGTCCACCCACATTCCTTGACTTCCGGCACCTTTTTTTTCATTTTCGAAGCCAGTATGCATGTATTAAGTCAGAGACTATTTTTTAAAACTGCATTTTTGGAGTCTGTACAAATGAGTCCAGTCACCCACATCTGCCTACCATCCACACGCCTCAGTATATTATACTGTCACTGACACAGACCCTATGTCATAGAGCATCCAACTAGATCATTCAATATACTCAACAAAGATAACCAAGTATAATATTACCTTCACTAAATCAGGAAAGATTATTCATTTTAGGATAAGATTTTTAAGGAAGTTTTAAAGGAAAAGGTTTTCTGCTTATGCCTTGTCTAGCAGGACAATTACACCAATTAGAACAATTCATTCCTCAAAGGGACTGCACAGTCATAGTTTTACCGCATCGTTTTAATAGCTGTTGAATTTTTCGTTTTTGAAAGGACAGTGAGGGATTTAAGAAAAATGTTCGCTTAGAGGACCACACACCTGAAAAAAAAAATGGAGTTTTGGCGGTGGAACTATGCATAACTTCTTTCCTTTTCTGTTATTCTGGATTTTCACTAATGAATGTCTTATTGTTACAATTTCAAAAAGCCAAAGAAAAAAGTTAAAGAAAACCGATTGTGATATAATAACCTGCAATTAATTCTAAGGCCTGACTTGTAATTCTAAGGCCTGGTTTTTGAAGTCTCAGGTACTTATGACAGCATTTTTTTTTTTTTTTTACTCTGTCATCCAAAATGTAGAGTATACAATCTTCCTTGTTAAATTATTCTGAAAACTTCTTTTAAAATGCATGAAGACCACAGATCATTTTCTACACACGATTACACTACCTTCACTGCACCTTCCCTCTTCAGTTGCCTGTGGTTTAAATTCTAAGGCCTGGTCAGAGAGTGGAACTTTTAACATTTTTGTTTTAGGCAATCGCGGTGCCACAGAACCCGATCTCATCACCAGCCTGGCTTCGAAGCGCTCACACACCGCGTCTGCTTACGGGGCCCTCGGCGGTCAAGATTTTTGGGCGAAACGTGTGTAAAGGCCGAGCCGGCGCTGCGCGGGGCCGGGCCTATTGACAGGCACCGCGGCGGGAGCCGCAAGCCTGAGTTCCGTGCGGCGCTGCAGACCGCTCAGCCCTCCAGCCGAGCCCGGGCTCCTGAGGGGGAGCGGCGCTGGGGGCGCTGGGGGCGCTGGGGGCGGCGGCGACGGGGTGGGGGCGGGAGCCGGGCGGCAGCTCCAGCGCCCGTGGGGGAGGAGCGGCGGCGGCGGCGGCGGCGGCGGCGGCGGCGGCGGCTGGAGCTGCTGGGGCGACGGACGCGAGGCGGTGGCAGAGGAGACCCACCCCTGTCCACATGGACAGTCGCAAAGGCCTCCGCTGATGCATTCACGCCCGGGCGGGGTGGGCGGACGGCCGTAGCGGCGGCGGCGGCTGCAAAAGGGAGCGAAGGGCCTGGGGGCGCCTGACGGTCGCGGAGACCTCGCCGCCCCGGCGCGGCGGCTGCGGCCATTTTACGGCCGGGGGTAACGAAGGGAGGTGTGTTTGTGTGCTCGCCTTCAGCCTCTCTTCCTGGGGCCCACGGCTGAGGAGAGCGTCTCAGGCGGCCTGGGTAGGCGGTGGATGGGGAGTCGTGGGCCGAGAGGAACTGGGCCCGGGAAGCGTCGTCGCCGTCGTCGCCGCTCGCGTTGCCCCGGAGGGGCCTGAGGAGAAGCCCAGGCCGCGGGCCTCGCCACCCGCCAGCCCGCGGAGAGGCCCGGAGCGCCGGGCCGGCTTTTGTGTAGGCCCATCCGGACGTGGGAGCGCCGCCCCCCCGCCCCCACCCCCACCCCCACCCCCACCCCCACCCCTGACGGCCGAGTTCTAGGCCCGCAACCCTGCGGCGGCTACCCTCGTGCGGCGCGGCCCCTCATCCCGGCGAGCGCGGCGGTGCTGTGGGCCATGGATTAAGGAGGAGGCGGCGTGGGAGGAGGAAGATGGCGGCTGGCAAGAGCGGCGGCAGCGCAGGGGAGATTACTTTTCTGGAAGGTAACATCTATTTCTGCCCTCGCAGGGGGTGGGGTGGCGAAATACAGCAAAGTGTGGGCCCCCCGGTCTCCGGGTATTCAGTTATTCGCATTGGGTGGGTCTGGGGTGGGGGTGGGTAGAGGCGCTTGAGGGGGGGGCGGGGGCTGCCGGGGCGATGGCGGGGAGGGGATGGATGTGCTGCGAGCGCGCCGGGGTCGAGGCCGCCGATGCTGGGGGCGCTCGGCGCGGGGTCGGGGTGGGGGGGGGGTCCGGACGCGAGCTGGAGTTGGTGGGTGCCCTCTGAGGGTGCACCGGTTATAAGTCTTGGACGTTTTAAGATGTTTTTGATGGTGGCCTAAGGATGAGCAGATCGCTTTCAGATCCTGTTGGATGTTCGTGGAAAAGTTTCAGACGGCCGAGGTCGGGTGAAATTGGGGGGCAACCTAAGTAGGGAGGGGAGAGGTAGTTCCACTTGGGTATGTTTTTACAGACGCCCTCTGCTCTTTCTGTTTCGCGGAGCTTCAGGCTTCCCTTTTGTAGCCGCTGTTCAGCTTAGCTACGTCTGAGAGTCTTAACGAAACGTGTTTTACTGAAGATATTATGAACGAATTTATCTGAAAGTAGAGAATGGAGTTCACCATGTCAATTTGGGGACGGTCACCAAAGCTGATTAGACAAAGTTTGGGTGGTTCCATTTTTATTCGCTTGTGAGTTAAACATTTGCTTGTAGGTGGATTGAGTCTTAAGAAAAGCTGAATGTTACTGTTGGGAATGGTGATAATGGGTAACAATATTGGTTCTTCGCCCATATAAATAAGGATTCTCCTCTCCCCGCGACCCCCCCCCCCCCATACTGGTAAATTCATTGTGGTCGTGAACCAGGAACTTGAATGTTCACATTGCTTAATTTGACCCTGGGTGCAGTGTTTACACTGAATTAAATATAAATTGAGTTTATAAATATGTTTAGAAAAAAGTGAGTCTACTGTACAGCGATTGTTTAAAAAAAAGGATTAACCACTCTGGATAATTTCACAAAGATGATTTCCACGTACAGTATAAGCAGTACCTTTAAAAAATAATTAGAAATATTTCTGAATTGAGAAAGTGTATTCTAACTGTGGTACAAGTGTTCTGTAAGAGTGTAGAGGGATAGGTATTGCCTTGTTTATGGTTTTATTAACAACGTCTGGAGGAGTGCCTGGACCAGGGTAGGTCTCCAGTATTACTGTAATGAACAAATTGGGCCTAATAGAGGTGGGCAGGGAAAGAAAGCTTATTTTTCTTAATTCTTACTTGAGTATAGCAAAGCAAAAAAAAACCAAAAACAAAACAAAACAAAAAATCTTAAGGGTAATGAGAGTTTGATAGGAGATTCCTAGTAAGAAGCTGGGGAAAATCTTCTAAGTTTATCTGGGTTCATTTCATATTATCTCTGCTCTATGTCCATTTCTTCTTTAGCCAGAATAGATACTTATCAGAGACTAAGAGTGGTGCAGCTTGTGTTACAGGTGGTGCTGTGCTGTTATTTTTTGTTTTGCTATTGGAACTGCCAAAGATGGCTTGCTGATGCTTACTTTAGTGCATTCAGTATGCAGATGATTGATTATAGTTTTGTACTGCGGTTAAGTTTTGGATTTCTGTAGGATTCTGATTCAGTTTAATTTCAGACTAGATGAACATGGGGAGGATGGAAGGAGCATAAATAAAGCCAGCAAATACAGGACTGATTGTGAATTTTAAACTGTTGCTTTTAGTTGAATCTAACTTAAGGGTCTGTGACTGTACAGTTAAAATAAATTTGAGTTTCACCATGTCTCCTTCAGCATTCTCATAAAGAAGGCAAATGCTAACTTGTTAGAATAGGAAAAGCAAGGATTTCAGTTTCTCATATCTGATTTTCATGTATTGTACTGAATCTTAATAAATGGAATGATGCCAGTATTTTTTCTTTTTTTACACATTTATTTATTTATTTATTTATTTAAGTTTTTATTTAAATTCCAGTTACTTAACATTAGTGTATTATTAATTACAGGTGTACAATTTGGTGATTCAACACTTATATACAATTCCCACCATTCGTCACAAGTGTACTCCTTAATCCCCATCGCTCATTTAGAAAAAAAGTTTTTTTTAAGTCTATATTTAATTTTATTATTTTTTATTATACATTTATTTTTTATTGGTGTTCAATTTACCTACATATAGAATAACACCCAGTGCTCATCCCGTCAAGTGCCCACCTCAGTGCCCGTCACCCAGTCACCCCCACCCCCCTCCCACCTTCCCCTTCCACCACCCCTAGTTCGTTTCCCAGAGTTAGGAGTCTTTCATGTTCTGTCTCCCTTTCTGATATTTCCCACTCATTTTTTTTCTCCTTTCCCCTTTATTCTTTTTTTTACACTTTTAATAATAAAATACTCCACTGTAACTTGCCATACATTTTACACTATCATGTTTATATGTTTTCAAAATATTTCACCATAGGCCTTAGGATTTAATATTTAAACATCAATAGAGTATACTTGCTTACCCTCTGGTAGACTTCTTGAAAAACTAAAGTAGGTTTTCACTCATCAGGTATTTATAGCCACGTATTCTGTGCTAGGCACTGTACCAAGGAGAATACAACAGTGCTTAAGATAATTAGGATCCCTGCCTTCATAGAATTTACATTATAGTGGGAGGGACCTTTAATAAATAAGTAGAAATCAATCCATTTAGAATAATTTTACCCCATGTTTTCACATAGTTCCCTTTTTCACTTTATCCAGGTCTACTCAGTCTGGACAGACAACCCACTTAAAATGCCATGCTGCCACACACACAAACACAAGGTATTCCCTTACACTGTTTTATTTTTTCATAATAGCACTTATCACTTGATAAATGTATGTTTTTCGATCTAATGTATGAGAACAGTGACTTTGATTTTCACCATCATATTTCTTGCACCTGGAACAATTTGTTGTTAATGAAATAAACAAGATGGTAACAGTATGCTTAAGACTAGAAAAAATACACAGAGCAGTAAAGGAGTGGAAAAGCCATTTTACATGGTATTAGAATCAGGAAAGGGCCACCTGAGGAGGTAACACCTGATTTAAGGTTAAGACCTTAGCTTCAGAATATGGCATAGAGGATGATACCTGTAAAGTTTCCAGATGATACATGGTTCCATTTGTGAAACAAAACAAGGTCTTTATGGCTGAAATGTAGCAAGCAAAGGAGAGAATGATAGGAAAGGGAGCGGGTCTATCACGCAAGATGATGAGTTTTTATTTTATCCTAAGAAGTGGGAAGTCATTGAAGAATTTGTGGCCATGGCGTGCCATGATGTGATTTATCTTTTTAAAAATCACTTTGCTCTGTGCACAATGAATTAGTCAAGAGGAACAGTAAAAGCAGGGACATGAGTTAGAATATTGGAGTAGTCTAAAACAGAGGAGTTAGATAAGTGGATAAAAAGTACTAAAAGGTAAAAACTTCCAGTTATAAAATAATTACAGAGGTGAAAATAACAACATAGGGAATATAATCAGTAATACTGTAATACTGTTGTATAGTAACAAATGGTGACTGCCCTTATAGTAGTGAGCATTGAGTAATGTATAGAATTGTTAAATCAATATATATTGTACGATTGAAACTAATATAACATTGTATGTTAATTATACTTCAATAACACCAGTAGACAGGATTGAATTAGAATGGTAGTGGAAATTGGGAAAGGGTGGGTAGACTGAAGATATGTTTGGATGTAGATCTTACAGGACTTCTTGATGCATTGTATTTTGAGGATCAGAGTATGGAAGGAATCATAGATGACTCCTGGGATTTTGGTTGGAGATGTTGGGAGATAATTTTAATTCCATTTACTGAAATGGAGTAGACTGGTAGAGGAATGAGAAGTTTGTAGCTCTGCTTTGCTCAGATTAAGTTTGAGATGCCTATTTGTCATCCATGTTCTAAATTATGTTTTATTTCCTTATAACTAACTAAAATGTTAATTGTTTCCTTTTCTGACTTCATTGGGGGAAAAGGAGACCTACTTGCTACTGTTTACTTAATTTTTTTAGTATAGTATCACTAAAATTGTACAGATTTATTTAGTTAGGCTACAACTTACATTAAAATTTTTTTTCTCTTTCTCTTCTATTCACTTGAGTTTGTCTTATAACCCTTTTCTACATGTGATAGTAGCTTGGTAGGTTTTTCTTTTCCTTCATTCATTCAGCAGTTATTTACTGAGCAACTGCAGGGTTGTAGGTACTGTGAGAGGCAGTGATGAAGGGGGAAAAAAAAAGGTTTCTCCATGGAGTTTCCAGTTGAGTGACGAGAGTCAGTGATCAAATAATCACACTTGTAAAATTAACAACTGTCAGGCACAAAAAGGGTAATTATTTATTATAACAACTTGATCTAATTAGGGCACTTTGAAGGGTAAGTAGGAGAAGGAAATGTAGAAAATCAGAGCTTTCCAGGCAGAGCAAATGAAATAGAGGGAGCATAGCATGTTTAGGGAACTAAAAGGAGGACAGTGTGGTGCTGGCAAAGAGAATGGTCTGAGATGAAACAGGAGGTAACATTATCAGATTTGTTCCCCAAAAGGTCATTGACTTTCATGTGGGAAAGGATGCTTTAGAGAAGAGCAAAAGATAATCAACAAGATCAGTTAGGGCAAAGGTGGTAACTAGCTTGTTCTTGTAACTTTTTTTTTTTTTTTTAAATAATCTTCCCCCTTTATTCTCCTCTGGGGAACATTTAAAAAATCCACTTCCTCTCTCATTTGTTCTTCCTTTTTTTTAATAATGCACTTACATCTAGTTTTCTTTCCTTTTGCCTTTTTTTCTACCAACTAATTGTCTCACCGATATTTTCTCCCATTTTTTTGGTCTCCTTTTGTGTGTATGTGTATGTATACATACACAGGTATACATATGTAAGTACTTTGTTTTCATTTTGGGTGCAGCTGCCTTTGTGGACTTTGACCACTAGCTTGAAAAGCCTGATGCCAA